CATCCACCAAGGCCAAGTGGCAGAGGAAGTAGTACATGGGTGTATGTAGGCGAGGGTCGCGAATGGCCAGCAGCACCAACGCCGCGTTGCCAGTCAGCGTTAGCAGGTAGCAGAAAAGAACCAGCGCGAAGAGGACGGGTTGCAGTGAGGGCCAGTCCGTAAAACCCAGCAGCAGGAAGCGCTCTGCTGAGCTGTGGTTAGCCTGAGGGGAAACTCCAAGAAGGTTCGGAAGGGTAAGACAAAGAAGTTTAATGCTAGTGGGCTTGGTGCAGGCCTTGCACTTGTGAGGCAGAGGCCACCCTGGTCTACACAGAGTTTCAGGTCAATCATAGCTACACGGTGAGGCCCTGTCTTACCTCTATCTATGACAAGCAAGAATCCCCCCTGTGGGATAAACTGGGCAAGAGAGGAAAAGCCCATGCCCTAATTTTAGTTTCACTACATAGCCACACGCCAGTATTCCTTCACAAGCTCCTCCAAGGGAAACAATGCTTATGTTTAGCAGAGGAGCGGGTTGAGGATTTAGAAAATCATGTGTCACAAGTCCATCGCTAATCAGGTATGCCTCCCTGGCTCTGGATGCACTTCCAGGAATTAAAGAAGAAATTCAGTGTATCTACCAAGGGCTGCTATGAAGACAGTTACTGAAGGACATAATCCACTCTGAGCCTTCTTCCCCCATTTTCCTTAAAAGTGTACACTGTGTAAAAGTCAAGCCTGAGTGTGACTAGATGGAGCAGCATTGCCACTTTGTGTGTGTGTGTGTGTGTGTGTGTGTGTGTGTGTGTATGTTTTCGAGACAGGGTTTCTCTCTGGCCTCACAGGTGACCTTAACTCAGTTCCACCTGCAAACCAAAGTGGAAGCGCTTCTTGAAAATACCTATATTATATAAAAACAGAATGTAAGCTCAGCCACTTAGAAGCAGCCAACAAATATATGTAGCTATAGACTTTTCATGTGAATAGACCAAATACAATAATTGTAACCATCAAATATTTTCTTTTTCTTACCCTCCTTCCCTCCCTTTCTTTCTTCCTTTCTGCCGCCTTTGGTCCCGTTTTTGTACCTGGCAGCCTCTGTGTTTCCTTTCTTCCTGCCCTTCCTGCCCCACCTCTCCCTCCCTCCCTTCCTATCTGCAGGGTCTCATGAAGGTCGGCCTTTAGCTCCCTTTGTAGCAGAGGGTGATCTTGAACTCCTGACCCTCTTGTGTCCACCTCCAGAGTGCTGGGGTTATAAACATGTGCCACCATGTCCAGCCTCCAAGCAAATGTTTCTTTGTTTTACCTCTATGTTTATCCTACAAAAATGTTCCATTTGTTTTTCCACTGTGGCTCACTAAACCACTTCCTCCTGATTCAGGAGCAACTGTTTGCTCAAATAAACTCTTTAAATGTTTATTGTGCTTCAGTCTCCCCTCCCCCCAACTCCGCTACGCTTTGAACTGAGGATTGAATTGGGGGCCTTGTGAACGATAAGCATATGCTCAGTACTGAGCTATACACTGACTACAGGAATTTGTATTTTAATCCGTTATATTATTGTCTAATCTGTGGAGGTGACTTATAGAGCACAGGACCTCCTGCTGTAAATGTGGTGGTCACCACAGAATAGCCTGGTCAAGATAATTTCCTGTCAGAGAGGAAAGAGAAGACCTTAGTCCTAGCAAGCACAGTCAACTCTAGTTGGCTATTTGGGTTATAGAATTCACACTTCATGGCATTCTGCCTCAATTTTGTCACGTGTATGTGGGGGAGGTTGAAGTGGATGATTTCTTGGGTCTATCCTGGGCTTTCCTGTCAATCATTTCTCAAACAAATTTAAAAGAAATGAAAGAAACATAGAGAACCTCATTTTCATGGCCTAGGTATTGATGCTGAATCCAATATCTGGTGGCATGGAAACCATCATAGTTGATGGACTGGATAAAATTTACATAAAAATTTTTCTATGCATGTTTCCTGACAGATAGTATCATATATGTAACTTATAAACACACTCATAAACTTTTAATATATATTAAATATATTATATATTTATATATAATAATAAAAGCCACAATCCTCTTGGCTGGCAAGATGGTGCACCAGGTAGAGGCACTTGCTGTCTAATGACCTGAGTTTCATCCCTGAGACCTAAATAGTGGAAGAGAGCTGAGTTCTTCAAGTTGTTCTCTGGCCCTCACCATTGATGCTGATGCATCTATCAATTACAATCTTTTATATTTTTTTCTAGGATGCAATCCCTCTCCCAATGAAACAGTTTGCTTATCCTTGTCAGGCAGGATAAGTTTTAATGGGAATAAGAACAAGGTTCAGGACCCAAACTCCTCAGGTTTGAGTTTTGATTCTGCTACTTCCTAGAGGATAACTGTGTGCCCCTGGAAAGACAAGTGTGAAACAGGAGTTAAATACACAGTGCTTTGAACGGTGTCTGGCACACAGTAGGTGAGTAGTAAATATTGTCACTCATATCTTTTACCACCCTAAGCTGGCCTAAGATAGCCTCTAACTCACAATTGTCCTGTTTATGCCTCCTGAGTGCTGAGATTACAGGTGTGTGTTTCTGAATCACTCCTGCTTCAGGAAATGAATTGATATAAAACTCTATTCCCTTTCATATGTTAACTTTACTATTTCCTTGATTGATTATAAATTAGGCAATAGTCTTATTTTACAGAGCAGAGTAGGGAGGGGATCAAAATTAAATGTGTCCACAGTCACATTGTAATGATTTGTAAGAGTTTGACTCAAACTTGACTTTACAAGCTGTATTATGCCAGAGCATGGAAGAGAAAAGGATATTAAAAGCTTAATCTTTATTTCTAGACAAATTTACAGCATTGGGGCTGAACTGAACATGTATAAAATATAAGAAATAGCATTTAAGTTTGTGAGGTAGTGGTGACTAGAGGTATTGAATTACAAAAGGACAAATTCTTCAGTATTGTGATTTCATAACCATGTACCAGCACAGCTAGGCAAGCCCTAAAATATTTACTTTCAGACATGCCACCACATGAAAACAGGTACACACTAATAGAATTTCACAGATAATATTTACGTTGTGCACAAATTCCCAAGAACACAATTCTAACACACACACACACACACACACACACACACACACACACACACACACACACCCCACTGATGATTTTTCAGAAGGCAGATCTGTTGTGAATAGTATAATGTGTCTTTAAACTTTCCTTGACTTTCTTGACTGTGAAACCATTTATTCTTAGAGCAATGTAACAAACTTACCTTCATGTCTAACATCTGGCCCTGTTTTTAGACCTTGAATTTATGTTGGTGTCCTGCTTGTGTTCTGGATTCCCTGGGTTTGAAATGACAGAGGGAAAGATTAACAAAAGATCCAAATATTTGACTGTATCAGTTGCTGGACTGAGTACCTGAGATCAGAGCTGGGTACCCCAGAATGAAGACAAGGGGACAGTGCCATCCTGTTCGGCAGAGAAATGAATCAATGGTTTG